CTATGTTGTATTTCCTTGCTCTGTCCTAGCAGCTGCTTCTTGGTCTAAGTTTCACATAAGAACAATTAAGTGTTCTGGGATTCCCATCCTTCTCAAGGTTAGCCACAATTTGTGATCCGCACAATAAAATGCCTTTGCATAGGCAAGGAAACATTGATAGACATTCTTCTAGTTCTCTCTGCTTTCAGCTAAGATCCATTTAACATTGGCTATAATGTCCCTAGTGCTATGGCCTTTTTAAAACCCCACTTGCACATCTGGCAGTTCTCTGTCAATGTACTGTTCTGTCATTTTTGGATAATCTTCTCTAGGATTTTGTTTCTGTGATATTGTTGATATTGTATGATAATTTCCACACTCTGTTGGATCACCTTATTTTTTTGAATGGGGATAAATATGGATCTCTTCCAGTCAATTGGTAAGGTGGTAATTGTCCTCTAGATTTCTTAGCACAACCTAGTGAGAGCAGGTCTAGAGCTGCATCTTTTTAAAAATATGTCAGTTGGTCCATTAATTCCTGAGCCTTGTTTTGTGCCAGTCTCTTCGGAGGAGTTGAACTTTCTCCTTCATCTTGCATAAAAGAAGCATAATTTAGGCTATCTTTTAAAAAATATTTTTTTATTATTATTCATACAGTCATGCACAATTCCTCCCTTCCTCACTTCCCCTTGTAAGACCATTAGCTGTCATACACATGGTTTCTTATTAAACATTCCTTTCAGAATGTCCTTCCTTTCTAGAGCTCCCTTTTTAACTTTGCATTACTATCGTTAGATATTTAATTAATGTTCCAGTGAACTGGAACAAATTAATAGCTGATCCTTCAGTGAGTTTTCAGAGGTAATAAAATTCATTGAAAACATTCACCATGTTTCTTCTGTGGAGCAGCTGATCCATTTAAACCACATCCATGATTCCTTACCACTCAGCTACCAGAGTTCCCTTGCATGACTGTAGAAGGTCTAAAGTTTGCTTACAAATGCATGGCAGTAAGCAGATATGCTTCATGTTCAAAGTCCTTTGGCCTTTCTGAATTTTCTTATTTTATGTTTTATGTTTGAGATTTTGTATTTTGAGTCATGACAAAATGGTACTTTTGAGGATATTTGTTTAGTCACCTTTTGAAGCTTGCTCTCTGAGATGATGCATGTAAACTTTCGATTTTTATATGGTCACATACATTCTTTTATAAAATACCACTCATATATTTCAAATAATTAAATTATCCTATTTAGATCATGTGTCACATGTCTAATATACCACTACAATTTTTCCATACCTCAAATACATCCTTCATTCTCTCACCATCTTATACTTGGATACTCAGAATAGTATGTTGTTGTTAGGTGCCGTCGAGTTGATTATGACTCATAAAGACATTATGAATAACAAATCTTGCCCTTTTCTGCACCATCTTTATGATTTCTCAACTGCTTGAATTCATTGCTGTAATTACTTTATATCAGTCTATCTCATTACAGGTTTCCCTGTTCTTCCTTTGACCTTCCACCCTTCCCAACATGATTCTTTTACTGAGGACTGGCTGCTTCTGAAAATATGCTCAGTGCATATGAGATGAAGTTTTACTATCATTGTTTCTAAGGGGTACTATGGTTGGATTTCTTACCAGATAGATTATTTTGTTATATTACAATATACTACGTTAAAATTCCCACTATAAGTAAGTCTCTTTGATGTATTCAAATCTGCCTCAGGACCCTTAAATTATAATTTATATTTTATTGTACTGAAGAAAAATATTCACATAGTGAAAACTGACCCAAAAGATTTTCTCATGTTATCCCATGTATTTACTGATGCTTTTGCTGAATATTTTCTAGATTTAAACACAAAATGACACAAAACTAACAAACAACAAAAAACCCCACTGTAACTTGGGTCACTTTTAAAAACTTTTTTCTTTTAATTTAGACAATTAGTACTTTGTGAATACCAGTCCCTAGGGTAATTTTGTTTCTATCCTCTTTTGTTTGGTAATTTCAGCAGATTCCCTTGCCTCATTATTGAGGATAAAAATAAAACCATACCTTTGTAGAATCGTTGTCTATAGTAATTTCTGTACCTAAGGATAGGTTTTTATAGATTTTGATCTTTACTATAATACTTAAAATAAAGTTTATTGTAAACAGTAAAACATTAAACCAAACTTGAAAGAATAGGCTTTTCAGGTAATTTTTCAGTACCTGAAGCCTGAGATATATAATGATTATGAACTTGTGAAAATACAAAAACATTTAAACACATGATTTACACATTTAATGATTTACTTTAATTCTTTTGAAAATATAATTGGTATTTCACATTTACTTTAATAATCAATTACATATACTTAACATTATAATAGTACTTAAAGAGGGTAGACATCCTATCATGTGCTACAAAAAATATAAATCCAATATATACTCTGTTTAAGGTAAGTCAACTTGTAATTTTAATTTATCTATTTGTTACCCAGAAATTTTATAAAATAACCTTTGGAAGTATGAATCAGGGAATTAAATTTGTCTTATATTGTTTTATTTGATCTTTTTTTTTCTTTATAGAGAAGTAGACATTCTGTGTAATTTTTCCACAAAAATATATAAAAATTAATATAATTGACTTTTAGTATACAAATGAGCATGTGATTTTTTTAGCTCTAAGAGCAAGGTCATGCATAGGATGCACAAAGAAAGAAAATTTTTACTTTTAAGAAATTACATTCCAAATCTTCCTTCAGGTCTGACCCATGTGCCTGGAAGAAGACTATTGACTGATTTCTAAAAACTTTAAAACCTTACATGGACAAATATTAGTTATAGAGATAATAATGGCAGGTCTACATGTTTAGAATAAATGCCTGTAATTACCTTATAAAACCTGTATTTACAGCAGTACATTAACTTCACTTGATCAAAATCTTAAAAACTCATAGGGTTTTCTACTTAAAATAAAAATGTTAATAACCAGTTCAAGGTTAAAAACAATTAATTGCTTAGCAAAACTGGAAGATTATGATTAATACAAAACAATGTCTTTATAAATATATATAATCCCTTATGCCATAAATAGACCAAACAATGTAGATTTATAGTTTTATTAAAGTTATTAATAAATATATCAAAGAGAAATAAAAAAAGAATATTTTAATGCTTGAATGACTAGTGGAAAATAATCATGTATATTTCAAAGACTAGGAATTAACTAGATTTTAAAAAAAAATCTGAGTGAATAAAAGAATATTCTTAAATGCTTAGAAGACTAGATGAATATATTTGGTCAATTTCACTAAGAACAAAAAAAAGGTAGTTAGCATTTGATTACTTTTTTCTTTTTTATTGCATCTATTAAAAAAGAATATTTTTTTAAAGAATATTGTTAAAGTGCAAAAAATAATTAACAAAAAGAAATGTTATTTAACAGCTATGTAGTGTGATTACAGCACTAATTGATAACAGGTACTGAACTGTTCACTTAAAATAATTTTACATGCGTAATAATGTGACTTTCATAGTCATAAAGAATATACTACGAAACTTATAAAAGAAATGAAGTTAAAAAGGAAGGAGAAATATTATTTTAGTTTTCTATCCATTTGCTTGTTTTCCTGACCTAAATACGTCTGAGGTGCCAATAATTGTTTCGAACTGCTGCTATATGGCTTGCTTACCGCTATAAACACACACTGCTGTTTTTTATATTCTATTTACTATCATTTTGCCTTGAATTTTGGTTAAGTAGTCAACTCCTTATCATCTCTCTGGAACTTTCTCAGTCTCTTTTTCTCTCTCCAGATAGATAAATATATGGTTCTAAGTATCTTGTTTTAGGTATAATTAATTTTTGATAGCTTATTTTAAAAGAACAAAAATAATATTTCAGACTATATTATAAACTCACTTTTCAAACTATTCAGAAAAATAATAAAGTCTTGAAAAGGGATTCTTCAGAGAACTTTATTGGTGTCAGAATAGGGAAAGGAAAGCTAACAAGCAAGCAATGGCAAAACCTTTGGAAATGACTCTGGAAACTGTGAACTTTGATAAATGTCTTTAGTTGTAGAGGAGCATCAGGCCTTTTGTTCACAGGGTCACTATGAGTTGTGCTCGACTTGAAGGCAGTCAGAAACAACAAACACACACGCAAATAATGGAATTTGATGAGGAATAGGCACAATGAGAAATTAAATAAAAGTAACTATATTAAAAATATGAAAAAAGTACATATTTGTTGAATTGTAAAGATAAAGTTTAAACTGTTTTTGTTGTTGATTGTCATCAAGTCAAGCACGACTCATAGTGACCCTATGAACAAGACATCTGAAGCCTTTCTATAACATGTCCAGAGACATGTTGTTTAGGAAGTGGAAAGTTTAAACTAAATAATCCAAAAAATCAGCTCTGTTGCCAATTTTGCAGCAATTCAAAGTGACCTATTGTTGTTGTTATGTGCCTTCAAGTCAAAGCCAACTCAGAGCTGACTCTGCAGAAGGGATGTCAGAGGAGGAGATGGCCCGTTCTTCTTCTATGGAGCAGCTAGTTGGATTTGAACTGCACACGTTTGAGATTGCAGCATAGCTCCTCACCACTAGACCATCAGAAATTTCCCAAGAATCCAAATCTTTAGAAAAGTAGACTACCAGATTTTTATCCCATAGAATAGCTGGTGAGTTCAAACTGTAGATCTTCCTGTTAGCAGTCAACCTCTTTAATTCCTGTACCAAATTGTCTCGTTGAAGTATTGTTAAACTCCTGTTTAATAATATTTATTAGAATTTAAACAAGGGGGGAAAAACCCTAATTCTAACAAAGATGACTGGAAAATGGGAAGACAGATTCATTTTAATTAACTTGAATAAGCTGATATGTAAAAATATTGGCTTATAGGTAAATTTCAAATATGATTTCTTCTATGAATAATTGGGGGAAAATTCACACTGCTTTTCTTATTTAGGATATTGCCCCTTTAATTTCCTCTAGATTTGGTAGGACAAAGGAGAAATGAAGAACCAGTCAAAGGAAATAGAGTTCATTCTCCTTGGACTGACAGATGATCCTCTGCTGCAAATTGTGATCTTCCTCTTTCTCTTCCTCAACTACATTCTGAGCATGATGGGGAACTTAGTCATCATCCTTCTCACTCTGCTAGATCCCCGCCTCAAGACTCCCATGTATTTCTTCCTCCGGAATTTCTCCTTTTTAGAAGTTTCATTCACAACAGTCTGCATTCCGAGATTCTTAACTACCATTCTGACTGGAGATAAAACAATTTCCTATAATGGTTGTGCAACTCAACTATTCTTTTTTTTTTTGTTAGGTATTACAGAATTTTACCTTCTGGCTGCCATGTCTTATGACCGCTATGTTGCCATCTGCAAACCTCTGCATTACCCCATTATTATGAACACTCGGGTGTGTTACCAGCTTGTACTCAGCTCTTGGGTAACTGGATTCCTGATCATCTTTCCTCCTTTGGTTTTGGGACTACAACTGGATTTCTGTGCTTCTAAAACTATCGACCACTTCCTATGTGACACTTCTCCTATCCTTCAGCTTTCATGCACAGATACTAAGTTAATAGAATTGATGGCTTTTGTCTTAGCTGTACTGACGCTTGTGGTCACATTGTTGTTAGTGGTCCTGTCCTATACATTCATCATCAAAACAATTCTAAAATTTCCTTCTGCTCAACAACGATCAAAGGCCTTTTCTACCTGTTCCTCACATATGGTGGTCGTCTCAATTACTTATGGGAGTTGCATCTTTATGTACATGAAACCATCAGCAAAAGAAAGAGTGGCCTTAACTAAAGGTGTAGCAGTGCTCAATACTTCTGTGGCCCCATTATTAAATCCCTTCATTTACACTCTACGGAATCAGCAGGTAAAAGAAGCCCTCAAGGATATGCTCCAAAAAGTTTGTCATTTTCTAAATGAGAAGAAAATGTTATGTAAGTAATGTGATTGTATGAGATAATACAATGCAATTTCTAGGTATATAATTTAAGATTCACAACATCTCTCATCTCAATAAATTTGTTGTATTTTATTTTTCACCATTTTTTTCAGTCTTCTGTGTTCTTATTCTCCTATAATCTAATAGTAAACTGGATTCTTAAATACAAAATATTAAATTCCATCTTTGCCTTGGAATATGTCTTATCATAAATGAGAGTTATAAGGATTGAATATTTGGTAAAAGTTACTTGGCAAACCACTAATTTTATGTCTATATATATTTATCATGAAATGTCTCATAAGTAGATATCATTATAAAATTTAAGGATTTGATAATTGCTATGTAATGCAATTGGAGAAAGGCAAACTGTTTATTTTAAATGATCATCATATACTTCCCAATGTAACTATCACTAATGCTGAATTTTGAAAGATAACTTAGAAAAGAATAAAATTTAAGGATGCTGTAATGAGAGGTATGCTAAATGCAAAGAAATAAAAAGTGGTTTTGCTTAGAAATGATTCACATGGATTGTTATAGAATTATTAAGAATAGTATAGTGTATTTGTAAGTATTAACTGTTACTGGTGGGGTGGAAATAATTGAGCTGCAGTATTTGGTTCTAATTGTTCAAATTGCTCATATAAGAGCAAGGTGAATGACATATTTTGTGCATAATTTATTACAAACTGGCTTTGGGGATCTTTTAATAGATTTGAAAGAATTCATAAGTGAAAATTTATATTCATTCTACTTTTATCATTTTAAATAAATTTTCTTTTTATTATGATACATACAAATCATTATATGAACATATCAACATAATAATGTCAAATCAAGGTGGTGGTGGTGGTGTTGATTGCCTTAGAGTGGAGCACGGCTCATAGTGACCCTATGTACAAAAGGCTTGAAGGCTCTCTACAACCATTAACATTTATCAATGTTCATAGAATTTCCAGAGGCATGTTATTTAAAAGTGCATATCACTCCTGCTTCCAAACCTGTGTTTAGTAGGTTATTGGTTGAATCGCCTGCGATGCATAGTGACCCTATGTACAGTAGCTCTGAACCCTTCCCTGTCCTGAGACAGTCTCACTGATTCTGACACACCAACCCCCATTGCCCTAGTCACTGTATTAATCTATCTCAACTGGGGTCTTCCTCTCCTGTGCTATCTGTCCACCCTTCTGGACATTATGTCCTTCTTCAAGGACCAATTTCTCCTGGCTACATGCTCATAGTAAATGAGGTGGAGTTTCATAATCCTAGCCTCAAAGGAAAGGCTTGGTTTCACCCTCTCCAAGACAGAGATTTTGCTTTCTTGGAAGTCTGTGGTATGTTCAAGGCTCTTCTCCAATACCATAACTTGAAGGCATTGATTCTTCTTCTGTTATCCTTAGTCATTGTCCAGCTCTCTGAAGCATGACAAGTAATTGAGAAGACCACGGCCTGGATTAGGTGCACTTTTGTATCTAGACTAACATCTTTGCTCTTTAGTACTCTGGAGAAGTCCATGACAGCAGATTTTCCCAATGTAATTAATCTTTTGATTTCCTGACTGCTGGTGTTAAGAAAGTTGTTTGTGGATCTGAGCAAGCTATAATTGTGAAAAACCCCAATCTCTTCTCCATCTATTATGGTGCTGCCAATTGGCCCAGTGGTGAGAATCTTTGTCTTCTTGATGTTGAGCTTCAATCCATATTGAAAACTACAGTCCTTAACATTTTGTAGCAAGTGCTTCAGGTCTTCAGTTTCAGCAAGAAAGATTGTGTCATCTGCATATCTCCAATCTTGATACCACACTCCTCCTCATAAAGCTCTTGGAAATCAAGGTATTTAAATAATAACATAAACTTGTAGAACAATGAAGTGAAGAAAACATTTACATTATTTTTATTAGTTCTCGTAAAAAAAGCAAAGGCCTGGTAAGGATGGCCATAGCTGAACTTTACCAACTCCATAAAGGTTTATGGTTCCTGTTAACAAAGTCAACAATACAAAATCAATTTCCATGAGGTCAAACATGTCCCCACGCTCCCAGTTTCTTCCTTCTCATTCCAGTGTCAATCTTATTGTTCTAATGGATCAAAATCCATTGCAATAGTTCCCAGATCACACAGAGCCATTTTAGGAAAGTAAAAAAAAAAACAAACCAAAAAACCTACACCTTCAGGTTAGTAGCAGAATGATACAATTTTGAAACCAAAAGTCAGGAAATAAAAAGACAAATTGCATTAGGAAAATCTGCTGTCGGGAACCTTTCCAGAGTGCTCAAGAATAACGATGTCTAAATACTAAGGTGTGCCTGATCCAGGCCATAGTCTTTGCAAGTACTTTTTACCCATCAGAAGGCCAGACAATGACCAAGGATAATAGAGGAATCAATAACTTTGAGTTGTAGTGCTGAAGAAGAGTACTGAAAATTCCATGGACTTTAAAGAGAACAAACTGTTTCTTTTTTTCTGGAGAGGGTGAAAGTAAGTGGCTCTTAGAAGTGAGGATTTTGAAGTTCTGTCTCACATACTTCAGCCATGTTGCCAGCAAGGACCAGTCCTTAGAGAAGAACATCATGCTAGGAAGAGTGGAGGGCCAGTGTAGGAGAGAAAAACACTGAATAAGATGAATTGACATCATAACTGGGGTAATGAGGGTAGTTGTGTCAGAGATAGTGAGATTAGCTCAGACTAGAGCAGGGTTAAGAGCTATTGTGCTTAGGGCTACTGTGAGTCATGCACATAACAACAACAACAGCAGCAGATTGTAATCACTCAGTCAGGACAGCTTCCAAAATGCACTCACAGCCTTGAGCCTTCTGATTTTAGGCCAATGTTATAAACACTCAGTCCTGCATGTTATGCCCATTATGCCTCACCCCTCTATCCCTTACATGGTCTAACAGATTTGGGAAAGGGCTTTGAGCTCTGGTTCCAAGGGTTGGTAGTCCCAAGGTCCACTCTATTTATTGTTAGTCAAGTCTCTGGTTCTTTGCCTCAGTTGATATGGCTGCTGCTCCCATAGGTCCTGGATTGGCTGGACCAAGAATTTCTGGTCGCAAAGGACATATTCCATTCTTTGCTTATTTGCTGGTGGACAGATTCTCAAATTCTGTTACTGTATCTGCTCAATTCAGTGGCGAGACTTACCAGTTCTCTTGTGGGTATGATATCACATAATTTATAAATAGTAATATGTACAAATTCTAGAAGAGGCAAAGTTAAAATTAGAGTAACTAGATAGATAGATAGATAGATAGATAGATAGATAGATAGATAGATATAGATAGACAGACATAGATTCCTGAGACTATGAGAAGAAATGACTAGAAGATACAAAGAAAATCATGTTAAGGGTTTATTGTCCAAAATAGCTTTCCTAACCACTGACATACTTTTTCAATATATATGCAGAACACATCATTCAAGAGGCTGGGCTTTATGAGGTGGAATATGACATCAGGATTAGAGGATGACTCATCAACAACCTATATTATGCAGATAACACAACTTTGATTGCTGAAACTGAGTAGGACCTGAAGTGCTGCAGAAGGTTAAGGACTGTGGTCTTCAACATGGATAGAAGGTCAACATCAAGAAAACAAAGATTCTCACCACTGGGCCAATTGGCAGCACCATAATAGATGGAGAAGAGATTGAGTTTGTTAACTGTTACAGCTTGCTCGGCTCTTCATCAATACTCTTGACACCAGCAGGCAAGAAATCAAAAGGCAAATTGCATTAGGTAAATCTGCTGTCAGGGACCTTTCCAGAGTACTGAGAAGCAACGATGTGAGTCTAGAGACGAAGGTGGGTCTGATCCAGTCCATGATCTTCACAGTTACTTGCTATGCATCAGAGAGTTGGACAATGACTAAGGGGGATAGAAGAAGAATTGATGCCTTCGATTTGTGGTGATGTAGAAGAGTCTTGAACGTACCATGTAATGCCAAGAAAACGAATGGGTCTGTCTTGGAGAGGGTAAAACCAATTTTCTCCTTGGATGTATGGATTTTGAAGCACTGTCTCACATACTTTGTGAGTGTGACCAGGAGGAACCAATCCTTGGAGAAGGTCATCATGCTCAGAAGGGTGGAAGAACAGCACAGGAAAGAAAGACACCAGATGAAATTGATTGATACAGTAACTAGGGCAATGGGAGTAGGAGTTTTGGGGTCAGTGAGACTGGCTCAGCACAGGGTAGGCTTTAGAGCTATAGTATATGGAGTAACTATGAGTTTTGGGTGACTTTGGCACATAACAACAATTACACACACACACACACACACACACACACACACACACACACACACACACACACACACATATTGTGTACCATAGAATCTTAGCGGGTTTTCACAGATAGATAATTGCACAAGAGGAGATTGCCAATCTTTCTTCTCCAGAGGAGCAGCTGGGGATTGGAACTGTTTATCTTCCCAATTGCAGCACAGCTTCTTGCTACTAAGTAACTTCTACATCTGATTTCTCTTAATCAGCACAGTATTTCTTATGTTTATACATTCTAATATATGTAATCATAGTCTATTCCTTCAGATTTATGTAATTTAGCAGAATCACTGGAGCTTTTAACCATTGTTAGATTTTCCCTTCCCTACAAGA